TATTTAGCATTACCACACGAATGGGATAACATCAAACACAAAGAACCTGAAAACATGAGTAAACCTCAATGGATGACAAGGAACCAAATGAACCATCAAATATGGACACCATCCATTCAATATTATAAAGACCAACTCTTTGACGAGTATATACCACAATATCTCGAAGAATGGACCAATTGTGGAAAGATCACCAACAATCTATTCCAACAACAATTTCCAAATAAAGAAATTCCAAATGAATACAAAACACCATATGACAGTGACAAACAAGAGATTACGGCAGAAAAGCCTAATCACCTGTGAACGCTTTATCACAATTCACCGCCAAGGGCCCGACCACAGCATCCGGTGTACATGGTATCCCGACCGGCACCGATTCTGATCACGCCCATTACACATAATGCTTGTCACACTCAGTAACTCTGCGATTACCTAAATCGGCAAATCTTAGAATTACCATAATCGGTAACCCGATTATCAAAACATTCTTATTATTAATTTCATATTATTAACCTTCGCTTATAAATATCCTTTACAAATCAATATTACTAATTAGCTTATTAATCATATTAGTCAAATATTAGTCATAGCTTACAAATAGCCAGTCATATTAGTAATTTAGCTTACAAATCTTTATAGCATAGTCTTCTTGAATGTATTTAAACAATAGCTTTTGACCTTTTAACTTTAGCAATTTTAAATCTAGTGATTTCGATTTTAAATTTAGCTCAGCCGTCAGCGGCTCACCCTTAATAACATAGCCCTAGATAGCTCTAATGTCCTCACAACTATAAAAGAAATAAGAGACATTTAATCTAAAATATACTCGAGAACTCTCAAATCTGAACCATTAATTTGGAACTCAGATATGAGTAACCAAACACACAAAGACATTGAAAAGAGCAATGCACCCAATGATAAAACTAATCTCATAAAGAATCGTCCTAAGGAAAGAAGAAGCATGATGTGCCCGACCAAGAAAAGAAACACTCAAAAGAATAAACACCTAAACACTTAGGAAGAATTAATAATCAAGAACCCTGCAATGATATCCAGCAAAAATAATACAAGAAGAGAGTTACTAATCAAACAATAAGCACCTACATATAATGGTTATCTAAAACCAATTCATACCAACAATACGATAGTGATCTGACAAACCTCATATGCCCAAAGGTATCCAATGAGGCTATAGGAGTCTAGACATGGCATCAAATAATATTAAAGAACAATAATATTATTGTTGCCTCTTCACAATCGATATTGAACAATAGGTGCTTACACAAACTCTTTTACCCAAAAGAGAAATTATTATTATATGTGAACATAAAGATTGTTTACAAAAGAACAATATAATAGAGATAGCGCTCTACAACATGATCAAATTATATTATATTCACACAATATAAAAGGAACAACATGAAAATAACAGATATTTGGAAACAAAAAGAGTTAAAAAGATATAACATTAAACAAATATAATAGTACTTCACTAAATAAATTTAATAAAAACCAATTTATTAAATATAAATCTTGTGCAAGTAAAATAGTATAATCCCATAATCCTTCTATATAAACATAAACAGTAAATAATCTTACGCCAAGGTAATAAAGCTTAGATAGCTTAAATGCCCAAGTAGAGGTATAGTAGTAACCAAGTAGTACCTCAGAGGACTTATCCACCTCTGAATAAAATAAATAAAACCATTCTACAAGAAGAGAGCATGGCCTAGCCTACTATAAAAAGAAATTAATAGCACAAAAGGTGCTCACTACTAAAAAACCACATCCATACTAACAAAAATTATAGTATAAAAGGCATACAGAAAAGAAATAAACTACACAACTATCCAAACCAAACTTATCAAGCAAACGTATTGCAAAACAAATAAAGCTTAAACAACTCTTAAGCAAGTATGATTGAAGGAAAGCTTACTCTAATTCAGAAGATTAACTATAATAATCAACCTAATCTAATATCTATGACTAGTAAGGCTAAAAAGGCTAAAATGAAACCTTACCATTGAAACTCACAAACTGATCATCTGACAAGACAACTATATCGAAACCACCAGAAATTAGTAATTCAACAATACAAATGTGAAACCTAAGCAAAATTTGCTTAATAATCTTTACATTAGTAATCTGCTTACAAACCAAAATCTTCAAAACTGACGTAATAAATGTAACAGTTGCCTTACCAACAAACACTCAAGTTGCCACTACAATAAGTACTATTGTAACCTAAACATCTTTGATTACAAATCAACCTGACTTTTTGCAGGACAAAGAAGCTGTAAACATATTTGTTGCATTAATAATCACCATATTAACTGCAATAACTACCATAACTGGAATAATACTTACGTGTAAAAGAAAACTCTGTAACTACAAGAAACAAATTACAAGGCTTCAAAACTCAACACTACCACAGTACAATCAAACTGACTTAATTGGATAAACTTTGATGACAAATCTATTTGAATTGATAAAACAATACAAGAAAATAATTATTATCTTAACAATTAGATTAATAACCTCAATTGGCTTATTAATCACTTTACTTGAAGAAAATATGACCACACAGATAACAATTGCCATAATAAGCTTAGTAATTACTGGCACAATAGGAATATTAATTATTATTCATACCATGACCACACCGCTGAATAATATAACGCATGCATGATCACAACAATTCTATTAATAATCACAATAGAATTAATAATCATAATAACAATAATATTATCCACAACAATATTAATAATTAATAATCATTTAATTTATAAATCAATATCAACAATTAATGACTGAAACTAATTCAACAATAAGCTGCAACACCTTTGAAAATAACCCTTTAGCTACACAACTATTGTATGGATTAATAATTGAAACCTTTGTAGCATTACTAATCATAGTAATATTTTATTGTTGTTGTAAACGCCAAAGATATAAAAAGAAGGTTAACAAGAACATATCTGGAGTAGGTCAATACCTACAACAATCATCTACTTGTTGCTAAAAAAGAAATTTAACCTTATATATCTAATAATTCAAATATTAGACCAACCAGACTTTGGACAAATCAAAAAACAATAACTATTCCAAACTCCAACAAACAAGTACACTTTCGAGTACTAATAGTACCAAAGAAACTTCGAAACCTCCAATCTAATCCAATATCAAGAACACAATTACAAAGTTCACAATATACACAAGTTTAACAAAGACTTAACCAACTCTTTGGATTCAGATCTCAATCAAACAATATAGCACCACAACCAAGACCAATTGGTACAACATCTCAACCAATAGGAATAACACCATGACCTAACATAACATTTTGACCAGGAGTAATACCATCTGCACCACCTTTAACAACCAATAAATCATATTAGAAAAAGAGATAAATGTTAACAACTGACAATACATCTTAGGAAATAACAACTAAACTTGAAATTACAAGAGGAATAATTACTTTTGCAATAATCTTAATAGGAGTAGTAACACTTATAATCATACTTCAACAAAAGAAGAAAAGATATCAACAACATATAATACCTTTACCAGAAACAGAACTATTCCAAGGCATAACCAAGCAACAACTAAATCGACAAGTTCTAGGACCAAACATTAACAAAGTCAACAACCTATTTGGAACAAGATATTAATGAGTAATGTAATTATACCAATAACTATTACACCATCGACTATAATCTTGACCTTAATTTCAACAATAGTATCTACAATAACACCAACAAGTACACCAACAATTACTGAATTACCACAATTTATACAGTCTTCCCCCTTTATAGTCACCCTCTATATAAGCACATCATATAAAAACCTCTTTATAAGCACATTTATTT